GAATATGATGCGACCAGGCTACAAACTCTTCCATGTACAAATATCGTAGGACTGTCAAATGTCACACGACAGTCTTGACTTTGGTAATGCTATGTGACTAAAATATGTGAGAGATCTCACTCCTCCCCCCCCTCCCCCCCCCCCCCCCCCCCATACATGCTTGACTGATAGAGCTGATACACGGCACTGGTAATTACATTAGCTAGAAAATAATAATCATTGTCCTCTTGTGGGACGCAATTTTGTGTTATTTTAAAGCCCCATCCTGGCTTTTGCCGAGGGCCCTAAATATAGATTAGTTGCGTATCCTTTGCAGGACGCTGCAGAACCAACCCCAGCAGCCCCTGGCTGTTGTGTGGTTTCTCTAGGCAAATTTACGTCCAGTAGTTTGTCATTGCCTACTGGACGGTCGGCTTCTTGAAACCACTGTCGAAATCAACGCAAGGCGCACGGCCCGCAGCTGGAATCGAACCCGGCACCCCGGCATTACGAAGCGTTCGCATCGACTTAGCCACAGAGCCGACCCCTAAATATAGCCGGGCCTTAAATATGGCTTAACGGGGTTTCCGGGACCTCTCCACAGGTAATCCTCATCCGCGTGGTTGCACTTTGTGTCACAGGGTTTTATCGCTCAGTGTAATGTCCCGGTGGGGTACAACTTACATATATACATACATTAGCTTGAAAAGGTAAAAATGGGGAGGCTGGGGGGGGGGGTGTTATCCATTCCAGCTCATAGCCGTGGCATGGTATATGTAAAAGCATAACTTTTCACACCATAAAGAGCTACCTTTACTTCTACTTGTAGAGTAAAAGAATAATAACTTATAATATGTATATATAAATTATATAAATTATAGCATTGAGTTCGTAACCCATCCCCCAACACCATATTTTCTGGATGGGCCCCAACACCATATTTTCTCATTCATGTGACGACCGCTGGGAAGCTAGCTTCTGTATGAGTTATAGAGTGAAGTTGTGACCTCATCAAAGAAAATCGATGTGACACGAATTCATAAAATGTGGGACAGTGGCCTGGCATCGTCTTTTACGGCCAGGGAGAAGTATGCATTCTTTGCTAAAATTGGCGTGTGGTGTGGAGAAGTTTCCGCTTTTCCCAACAGCTTATTTTATCTGATAAAATTCTCCTCCTCGCCCTTCTTTTTCTATATTCTTGTTCTGCCTTTCAGCGTCAGGTTTTAAAGAAGCATCGGGGATGTCTTCTTGGCATGTGCTAGGTAGATACAATTATTGACGTCTCCGCTATTCCATGTGTCTATCGCCCTGCTTTCACTATGTGTAAGTGATTTTGCGCTCTGTGCTACACTGTCTGGTGGAAGTATTGACACATGACCAAACAGTCTGATCTGTTGTCTCCTGTTATAGTTTAATAATAGTTCCGTCCCAACTTCTGGTCTTTTTCCAATGTCTCCCCACAGGATGACGTCACAAGACAGTCTAATAGTTTAAAGGGTGGTAAGACCGTGTTTCCCGGCTTTCTGATGCTTTTAACTACCCCAAAACATCTTAAACTGGGCCTAACCCCAACCCACCTACGTCCCCCGAGAGAGTGCAGCCTAGGTCCCACGACTGCATGCAGCCTATCTACCATCCCCTAAAATACTGCACTGTCTGTCTGAGGGGAGGATACCCAACTTCTTTCTTGATATCGTCATTTCTGACTCTGTCTCTTCATTTAGGATTCGCCGTAGCTATTGCATTTATGTTTTTTTAATGTGTTTGTGTGTGTGTGTGTGTATGTGCGTGAGTGTGTGTGTATGTGTGTGTGTGTGTGTGTGTGTGTGTGTGTGTGTTAATGTCGACGTTTGGCACTCATAACACAATGTTGGTGAAAAATGCTGAACTGTCAGCTCTCGGTACCACTGTCGAAGCCAACACAAGACAAATCGTCCTCTGCTGGGATCGAACCCGGCATTACCAAGCGCGTTTGCAATGCATAAGCTACAGACGCCGACTCGTCATTACTATGTGCAAGAAAACGGCACAGGAGTGATCGCAACAACTATGAGAAATTTTACTTCTGTGTACTTTTAAAAAGTACTTGCTACTTGCTAGAAGTGTTCTGTGAAGCTAAGGTCGGTCATAGGTGGCCAGGTCTACACAAGAGTAGCAGTGTGGATTTAGTGCCAGCCGGTCCACCATGGATATGATATTCTCCTTACGACAGTTACCGTCAACAAAGTGAAGCGGCTTCCCTAACAGCTAGAACGCTAGGCTCTGAAGCGAGAAACCGGGGTTCGAACTCTGGGTAAGGCTAGGGATTTTTTAAAAATCTGTCGGGGGCAAAATAAAATCCTCACCTGCACAGTCATGGCGACAACACTAGTCATGCGGCCGTAAATCCTCAGATTCAAAGACTCCTGCCTACATCGCAAAAGTAATTGGCAGTTTTTGACCGTCAACAAAATCATCCGCTGCATGTTGCTTTTATTGATCTTACCAAGACATCTTATTGATCGGTCGTGAAGACTAAGGCTCAAGAATCTCGGGTGTCCACCTACATAGCTTAGCATCAATGAGTCGTTCCTCACAGGCATGAGGGGTCCAGTCAGCTTTCTTCTGAGAAATGGGGGGGGGGGGGGGTGGAGTAGTAACTTCGGAGGAGGAATTGCCGTGGTATTTAGACGACGGACCAACATCATGGCACAAAGGTAGTAACCCATAAGTGCTACGTTTTACTTCTGACTCAAGCCTTCACTGAGATTCAGACTTGAGTTAAAAGTAGAACGGAGCACTTGTGCCGTGATGTTGATTCGTCGTCTAAACCTAAAAACATTTTTTTTAATTTAAAAAAGTGGGTGGAAATGGGACGGATATTTATCTGCTCCTCGCTCTCGTTCCATCTAGCTTACCGATTGTCACCAAGTTTTTGAATTTCTTCCATTTCATATTTCTGATACACATTTTTCGACGCTAAATCCGCTGCGAAATCATTGCAAAACGGTCTGCAGCCGGATCGTCTGCTGCAGACTTCGATCCCTGGTATGTGATTTTAAATACTGTATTCATCAACTCATTGCCATTTGTTGCACGTTAGCTATAAACCTGCGGATACACCTTAGTAATTATCGTCTGCCACAGACCACCATATTGTTCAACAGTCACACCAAAGAACATGCGACAATGTACAAATATTATAACTGCAGAAAGGATTGTCATCATTATTGCTTGGATCAGACCTCAGCTGTGATCTTCTGCAACTGAAAGCATTCACTACAACAAACAAGGCAGATGATGAAGAAGTTTGAAGCTTTAACAAACACAGGGCCACTAAGAAGAATTAACATTATTTAACGTGTTTTAGCTGGTTGTTTGCCTGCTTGAGATCTGCATATTGACAGAACTAAGAATGCGATTGTGCTGAGTCAGGGGACAGTTTGACAACAAAGCCTACTTCAAATATTTTCCCACTGCAGAGGCACCAAACCTTGAGGGCTTATGCACACTGAGTTACTCCCACCCCCCCCCCCCCCTTTCTGAAAATATGTTTTGAAGTGTGTATGCAGGAAGCATATTATTATTATAAAGCAATTATAGATTACTTATGTCTCTTCAGTAATCGCACCTTTCCTGTGTGTTTTTTCTGTTGGTGTAACTGTTTCAGCCCCCCCCCCCCTCTTCCCCCAGACACACACACATACACAAAGTGTAGTTCATCTCCTCCACAAAAACATTGTCTGTTTAGAAGTTGCACTAGTAAACATGTCTTCACATATTTTAAACAAATTTTCGGCATTTATCACAGTATCATTATTGTTATTTTTACCCATTTAAATAAGGCTTTTCACCCCTCCCCCATTAGGAAAATGTGTGAGGAAGCTGAGGCTCCTTCACATATTTATTGTATGTCTGTGTCCCTGACACACACACCATACCTTCTGCTATTATTTTTTCCAGGTCGTGGCGATTGATATGACCAAAATATTTCATCTTTTGAGACAGGAAGACAATCTTCCTTGATGTTCAGATCTTTCAAGATGTCAGTATTTCTCCTCTTTTTATCTTTCTATAGCATTTCATCCCGTATTTTCTTTCTTAAGGTCTGGGAAATAGTCCACGACTCACATCCGTAGGTTGCTACAGGAAAGATGCATGCTCTCAAAAAGCCTTATAGCACACGTAGTTATTATACTGCACCACCAAAAAGTAACTTGTTTGTGTTGTAATTCTTCCTCTTCAGCATTCATAGCCCTTGACGCTCATTGCTGCAGATATGCAGATATCACCTGCTTCTCTGGTTTGTCTTTTTTTTCCGGTTGGTAACACCAAGTCTTTGTAGGTTTGTCTGGGTATGATCGCTTCATCATCTTCTTGGCCTGTCTTGTGGTCTGTGACCATTTAGCGCAATTGTGTATGCAGTTTCGCCACGAGTGAAGGGTTGTAATTCTATTTGTGAAAATATATATAGACCATAAAGATTTTCGGTTCTCCTTGCAATAACGGTCGCTACTTGGACGGCGACGGCAGCTTAGTCAGAGTTCAGTCCCCTGGCTGCAGTGCAATTACGGAGTGGACAAGGCACGAATCACAAAACACAATGAATTCAACAAGGCGTCTAGACCACGGGCTCCGACTCACATTAGCCTAACCCTAACCCAAACCCTACCCCTAGCCCTAATTATGTCATTTGTGTCGTTCCCTCTTTTCCACTCCGTAATTGCACTGCAGCCAGGGGATTGAACTCTGACTAAGCGGCCGCCGCCGTCCAACTAGCGACCGTTATTGCAAGGAGAGCCAGATTTTCTTTCCGTAAATCATATTTTAGATGTATGGTGTTATACTTTCCGCCTATGATTGTATCGGCAGACTTCACCTAAATTATTTAAATTACGAATATTTTATGCAAAATAGTTAATATCCACCACACTAAGACACACATATGAAATATTCAGTTGCAATGAAGAAGATGACATTCACACTAATTAAACTAAATAACACAAGGTAGATGTGAATGTTACAATCATAACTTAGCTCACCCATAAAATCCACAAGGAAATCGTAAACCATGTCTTTAAACAAACCAATTTTCTCTCAGTTCTCATGATGCTATTGTTGATGTCACACCGCGCACACGAAACTCATGGCCCGTCTGTCTACTGCGCTGCGAGTCTCTCAGTTGTCGCACTAAACGCTTTGTTGTTATTATTAGATTTGTTAAATTCTAGTGACCTGGTTTGCGTCCACAGACTTCACTTCCATCGCAGGTCATCGGGCTCGTCAGCCGCGTCAAGAACACACGGGCTGGTTGTGGTTCTGTCCCGCTTAGTTCTGAGAGGAAAATAATTGAACTATTGACACGTGAAATGTTATTTCTGGTTGCCTTGTACCGCGGTGGAAGCAGCAATAGAGTAGCGGTTAGGTGCTACAGGCAAGCAAGTCTTTAGTTCGAATCCTTATCTCCCGTGTGGGGTCCCCTGCCTCTTTTTTGGGAACAAAGAATGCACCACCCCCACTAACACCCCGACCCTTTTCTTAAAAGTTTTTCTTCCCAAAAACATATCGTGAAAGGAATAATAAGGGATTTTTCCTTAAAGGGTCAGTGACGTAAGGGGGTCCGAACCCAAGACATTCAGGCAGGCGGATGTCAACCTGCTGCGCTACCACAGCTCCTATTATCGTATAAGGCAACCAAGAATAAGATTTAGTATGTCTTCTACTTCCTAAAAGTTCACCGGCTGTGAACTCCGGCAGAAAGTTCTGGTTGTTCGTCCACTTCTAGACTTTGACCTTGTTCCAGAATTTGAATTCTGCGTGGACACATGTTTTACAGATCTTGGTTGTTTGTATGCAGATTGTTGGCTCTGTGCCTCAAAGAATAGATGTATTCCGACTTGATTGAGAAACCTCTAATTAATTAGTCGCATTGTTAGAGGGCGGTTAGTCAATTCCACCTTCCCCCTTAATAAGGGCTGCGTGGTCTCGAGGTATGGCATTCGCCTTGAGTGCTAGAGTCCCGGATTCAGGCCCCGATAAAGGCTGTTTTTTTTTCCACGTGGACTTTCAGTAATTTCCCATGATCTCTAGTTAGTGAGATCGGACGCCCGTGTGTATTGTTGCGCACGTAAAAAAATCATCAGGAGTAGGCTAATGGCGCTGCCTGGACAAAATTTGGAGTTAATAATCTACCCAATGTTTTTCAGGATCCTCGCCGGTGCAACGCGAGTTCGTGCACTGCGCTGAGCTGCTTGAAACTCAGACTTGAGTTAGAAACAGAACGGAGCACTTATGGGTTACACCCGTGTGCCATGATGGTGATCCGTTGAATAAACCAAATGCCCCTAAATGAGGCCCCAGAACCCATACAGGGTAGCCCTGTGGGTTATAACTGGGTTAAACAGAGATTCGGTCTTAGTTTTCGTCTGCCTTCGCCATTCAAGGATGATCAGAACGTTGTGTTTGCGGAGTACAGCTAGTCATTTCCTCGTCCTAGTTTAAACCTGGTACCCACACCCCAAGGCAGTTCTCCGCCTGAAGCTGTTGGCATAAGTGGGAGGACAAGGTTTCGAGGTGCTGATGGCAGCTGACACACTTGATGTACAAAATGTGAAAGGTAAAGGGGGGATGATCGAATTCATGGCACTTGGTAATATCCCATATGGCCCAGTCTCTCTCCGCAGAATCGCTAGCTGTCTACAGAGAGCGCTACACAGAGCACGACCTCCGTAGTTCCGGCGACGATCCCCAGGGATCTTAGGAAAATTGCCCCCGTGAACCGAATAACGGAGAACCTACGACCTTCAGAGCTCGAGACAAATGGCTTGAGCACTTCGCCACTGAGTCACACACCGCTCCTCGCCACCCCCACCCCCCCCTCCCTTCCTTTATGGAAAAATGTGTTAATTTAAAACAGAATTTGGATCCGGCCAGAAAAGACGAACGAGAGGGAGAGAACGATGGGTAAACAAGCAGTGTGTCGTGGCACAGCCAGCATCTGCTGCGGTAGACGGGGAATCTCTGGGTATTCTCTTTATTGCTTAAAGAATATATTAGTAAATCAATAACAGCTCCATCCATGACTTAATCTGCATGCACGTAAATCAAAAATATAGAAAATTGTGGCGTATAAGTCGAGTTTTCAAGCCTAAGAAATACTAATTTGCATATCTAGAAGTCGACTTACATGGCGGGTAAAAATGCAAAGCTTTCGCACCTAGTTGTAAAACGGGACAGCATCCCTAACAGTCAACGTACATCCGTTTCTGTATCTCTATCAAGCCATCAAATGATAAAAGGTAAAGTTGGGAGATGTGAACCAGCGTCATTGCACACGGTTACAAACCATTAGTACTCTACTACCAGTACGGACAGCTGATAAACTATCCGCATGTTTAGGCGTCCGCATGCAACTCCGTAGCTACAGTGACGTTCCTCCATTTACCCGAGAGTGTTAACTCTGGTACCCATTTCCTAGAGGCTGGGTGAACCTCGGGAACCGCCCGGTTTCGAACACCGGTTGTGGGCTGCAGCGAGTCGCAGCTGGGTTTAAAAGCGAGTCTCCTATCGACTGGGCTAACGCGGCCCCCGTTTAACTTGTTTGGTGAACATATCTGACATATTACTACATCTTTGAGGCGGGGGAAGGGGGAATCGACCTACACATATACGGTAGATACAGGCCTAACTCCAAATAATCTTAAAGTCGACTTGTACAGCAGGTTGACTTTACGCCGCAGTTTACGTTGTCTTCAAGAGGCTTTTGTCATCATCATCATAAACCCTAACATCTTATCAAATGGACAGAGATATCAACAGACAGACAGATGGATAGATAGATTGACAGATGACAGACAGACGGATTAATCGATGCAAATACTTAGACAGACAGACGGACGGACGGACCGACGGACAGACAGACAGACGGATAGACGGATAGATGGATGAAAATACTTAGACAGACGGATGAACGCACGGACGGACAGATAGATAGATAGATAGATAGATAGATAGATAGATAGATAGATAGATAGATAGATAGATAGATAGATAGATAGATAGATAGATAGATAGATAGATAGATAGATAGATAGATAGATAGATAGATAGATAGATAGATAGATAGATAGATAGATAGATAGATAGATAGATAGATAGATAGATAGATAGATAGATAGATAGATAGATAGATAGATAGATAGATAGATAGATAGATAGATAGATAGATAGATAGATAGATAGATAGATAGATAGATAGATAGATAGATAGATAGATAGATAGATAGATAGATAGATAGATAGATAGATAGATAGATAGATAGATAGATAGATAGATAGATAGATAGATAGATAGATAGATAGATAGATAGATAGATAGATAGATAGATAGATAGATAGATAGATAGATAGATAGATAGATAGATAGATAGATAGATAGATAGATAGATAGATAGATAGATAGATAGATAGATAGATAGATAGATAGATAGATAGATAGATAGATAGATAGATAGATAGATAGATAGATAGATAGATAGATAGATTAGATAGATAGATAGTTTTCCCCTAATAATTAATATTATCTCACCTAAACACACACACACACACACATGAAGAATGTAAAACAAATAATATGAGAATCAACACTGAAAATACAGAAGTAATGTCAATAGGAATAAAGAAGACAGATCTAAACATAACCATAGAATACAAAGGCATTAAACAGGCATCTGAGTTTAAATATCTGGGAACTACATTTACCGAAGATGGGAAATTGGATAAAGAAATTAGATGCAGTAAAGCAAACCAAGTATTGGGACAGCTAGCCCCCTCTTACAGCATAAGACAATCCCAATCAGCACAAAGAGACATCTTATTCAAAGCATATTTATTCCAACTCTGTGCTACCAGTGCCAGACATGGTCACTCACAACAAACCATAAAAGAAAATTAGTAACCACGGAAATGAGATGTCTGAGAAGGGCTGTAGGTGTGACCATAAGAGATAAAATCAGGAATGAGATCATAAGAGAACAAGTCGGCACAGAACCAATTCTGGATTACATACAAAGACAGCAAATGAAATGGTTTGCCCACTTAGAGAGAATGCCTTGTTACACCATAAGGGGGCTGCCCCAAAGGGGTACTCCGGGGGCAATACCTGCGGCGAAGGAGACAAAATGGACACCACACAAATCAGGCAACGTCTCGACCCACACAAAACAATGGCCACAGTCACCCTAGAAATAGGCCTGACGTCTTCCTTCGAAGTCGGCGTACAGCTGCCCAAGAGGCAGGGAAATTAAAAACGGTTGTACACGCAAAAATCAGGTCCAGGTGAAAGCCAAAAGTCCAAGTGGACGATTAACCTGACCTTCCACTGGAATTCACAGCCGGTGTTCGATGAAAAAAAAAAAAACAATACATGGAAAGAGAAGAATGACATAGAGCACGGGGTAGACCAAGAACATGATGGAAGGATAACATCAGAGAAACTCTACAACAGCACGATGTGTCTATGGTCGAGGCAGCCAGAAGAGCTAGAAACAGAACCTTTTATCTCCCTCGACACCCACAGCGGTAAAAGAGGAAGTGAAGAAGAAGAAGAAGAAGAAGAAGAAGAAGAAGAAGAAGAAGAAGAAGAAGAAACACACACACTCAAACACACCCACTCAGACACATTCACACACTACGCTAAAAAACATCTACTCGTCCAGTGGTACTCAGCACTCAAATCTCACAAGAAGATCGCCAAGAGGAAATAAAGAAGAAGAAAAAGAAAATTAAGGGAGAAAAAAGCCAAGTCTGTGATTCAGCTCTGCGGCGGTCACATGACCTGGTGAGTCATAAGAAAGAAGGCGACATGCTGAAGGCGGCCTGGTGTTAACTCTTGAGCTATGTCGGTTTTAAGACAGCAGAACGTGTTTTGGTCGTGTCGATAGTGACCAGTCCATTTATAGAAAGGAATTTACCAGGTCTTTTCTTTTAAGTCACTACATCATGCGGGACAGGGAAATCCCAGAGTATAGGGGGGTTGGGGTTAGAGTTAGTAGTAGTCGCTAGTCATTTAACTAGTCACTAACTCTAACTTCTCTCTCTCCGCCCCCCC